CTCGGCTGGGATGCAGCTCGGGCTCCGCGGGATGAGGCTCGGGATGCAGCTCGGGGTCCGCGGGATGAGGCTCGGGATGCAGCTCGGGCTCCGCGGGACCGGCAGCAGCGCACCCGCTCCGCCCTGGCCCCCGCCCGGCTCCGCACGGCGCGCAGCCAAGGAGCCGCAAAGCCCTGCCCTGCTGCCCGTGGCTCTCTGCGGGTCCCCTGCAGCCAGAGTTTGCCCAACTAGTTGAACTGGCTCTTTTTTTTTTTTTTTTTTTTTTTTTTTTGGCAAACTAAGAATTTCCTTCCTGATAAAAATGAACGGCGGGCGCCCCGATTGGGCGTCGCGTTGGAGAGGATGTGACATCAGGCACATCTCTCGCTGGGCTGGATGGCCGGCTGCCGAGCAGGGCAGCCCGGGGGCTGTTCTGTTAAATGCCACCCCCGGTGCTGGAGTTTGTGCACAGAGAGCTGCCGGCACCGTGTCCCGGGCTCTGCCTGCTCTGCTCGGCTCATGCGTGCGCAGGCTGCTCCAGAGAGCGCTCCGGCCGCTGGGGGCTCCGCGGGGACCATGGAATTTGAACTCTGGAAACCAACCACAAAGTGAAAAAACAGCGCTTGGGCAGACAGAGCTGAGATGGATGATGAGAGAACAAATCAAAATGCCAGCAAATTGCAAGGAGCTGGAGGCCAGGCATGTGCAGCGTCTCCATCAAACCCGCTGATGAGGGGTAAGTGACGCTCCTGCCTGGCCAGGAGCCCCAGCTGTGCCGGAGGCAGCGAGGGACAGGCTGCGGTGGCTCCCTGTGCCCTGATTCGGGACAGATCCTCGGTCCGTCCCTCTAAACACCCCCATGACTTTGTACTTCTGAGGGGATTTAAAAAAAGTTATTTCTGTTTGATACTGAAATTTTTATCGTTTTTCTTTTGTGTCATAGAAAAGAGTGGTTGATTTTGTAGTACGTTTTATGCAAGCAGAAATAAGTGGACCTCAGCATACTGAAAAATAAGTTTGACTTAAATGAGTGCCAGCAGAAAGCTCAGCACTGGCTCTTTTTATTTTTCTCCTTTTTCTTTTTATTTTTCCTTTTTTTTTTTTCTTTTTCCTTTTTTTTTTCTTTTTTCTTTTCCTTTTTTTTTCTTTTTCTTTCTTTTTCTTCTTCTTTCTTTTCATTCCCTTCTTTCTTTCTTTCTTTCATCCTTTCTTTTGACTATTTTAATTTTTGTTTTTCTTTTTTGTCTTCTCTTTCTTCTTTTTTTTTCTTTTTCCTTTATCTTTTATCCTTTCCCCTGCACTTTAAGATGAACAGACCTGAGTGTTGTTTGAGCCTACTGGGTTCTTCTGCAATGGCATTGTTGTGACCAATGCTGTTGTGGGCACATAATAGTGAGCAGTTATGCAGACAAATAGCCTCACTCTGTTCATTGCTTTATGTCTGGCCCAGAGCCATTGAAAACATGACATGGTAAAAAAAGACAAGTAATTTAACTTCATATCCTTAGCTGGACGTGTTCCATGTAGCTCTGTTTCTGTGAAGTTGCTCCTTCATCTAATGGCGAGTGCAGAGAGAATGAGGTAAATTCAGAAAACGTGACTTTATGCTGTTCTTGCGCCTTTCCTGGGCTGTTCAGGATGTTTCCATTAATACCAAAATGAAAATTAAGACCATAAAACCAAAATGCAAGGCTGACCAGTCTATCTGCAGTGTAGTCTGCCTGTCCTCGTGTGTGTCACGTATGTACAGCCTGAGGCTGGGGTGAGAGGGAAGGCAGAGATGTTATTAACAGTGTGAACCAGTCCACGCTGGAGATGAGCTCCAGCAAAATAGAGGGTGGAAGGAGGGAATCCCACATGGCACAGTGCTGGGCACAGATCATTTGGTCCTTTGAAAATCAAAGTTCAGTCCATTCCTTTTGTGTCTGCCTGTTCCTTAGTAGAGTCACTAAGCTCTTCTGGCAATTTCCAGCGGCAGTGTATTTGGCTCAGGCTGTGTATATCACAAACTTTAAGGGGCAGCCTTTGACTATGAAAAATACCATTTGTAATCTGTTCTATATAATGCCTTGGGATTTTTTATCTGCAAATATGAATGCAAGGGCATACCTTCACTGGAAGGACTTCAGAGCCCCTTTCAAGCTGCACTGTGCGTGAGAGGCACAGAAGGAAACCAGCCTGGGGACAGGCATGGAGGATGCAATGCCCTCACATGGTCAGAGGTTGGAAAAAGTTGCTTCAGCCACAAAAACCAGTGCTCTAGAAAGGTCCTGTAAGAGCTCTGTTGTGCAAGGGAGCAGTCAAAATTTGCGTGTGTGCATGGTTGTTGCTATAAGGCTCCCTCTGTGTACACCACCCTGCCAGTGTCACGTGCCTGAGTGATGGCAATGCAATCAAATATGACCAGAGGTTTAATGGAACCTCTGGGCTGGCTGGAGTCTTCTGCAGTGGAAGGGGAGCTAAGTGACCCAAAGCCACTGAAAGCCAGTGGGGTTTGGATGTCTAGATGCTGAACTGCTGGGGTCTGACTCTACCTCCCTGTGGACTAAGGTGTGGGTAAATTTCAAATTTGGACAAATTATCTTGTTTCTTTGTGAAAGAGCAGTTGTACATATTTTTGACAATCAGGAATCCTTGTTGCAGTGGTGGTACATAGAATGAACACAGCTGTGTCCCCTACATACGCCAGCCTTGCTACTTCACGTGCAGCTCTGGTGGGCAGAGTGTTTTGAGTACTTTCATGAATGTCACTTGTTCAGGAATTTGAAAGCCTGTGGTCAGCTGGAACTCACATTTTCTTAGGCCTTAATCAAATACAATACAGATCTTTTATATTCTGACAGTGTGCCTCCTGGCAGTGAGGGCAATGCGACATGGAAACCCACTGCAGCATTTCTCCTCTTCCAGGCAAGAAACACGAGTTCCAGCCTGGAGCAGGCAGAAAATAGAGATATTGTTATTTGCCAGAAGATGATGCCCTGGGTCAAGAAACTTGGGAAATTTGCCATCCCTTCAAGGAGGCTTGTCTCCCTGACATTGCTTCAGGTTAGAGGTGTTTGCTGCAGATGGAGATAGGGCAGGAAAGACATCAGCCTGGGGCTGTGCAGTTCATGGCAGCAGATCTGGAGTTATGCCATCACAATTAGTCATCAGTCAGGCCTTGAATACCACTCTTCCAAAAGTATCCAAAGCTGGTGTGATGGTCTCCACAGGGCTCCACAGGACTCCAGTTCCTCCTGGGATAAAACTCTCAGTTTCTCTGTTACAGAACTCGCAGATAAATCATGTCTTAGCACATATCTCTATTATTTTTCACTGACATTTATTTTTGATGCTTATATGGTCAATCTTTTTACTCATTTTTAAGACTTGTAAAATTGCAAGCTAATGGCCAGTCCACAGATGGCTGGTCTGGCTTTTTGTAGAGTTTCAGTAGAAACCTGTCTTTTCTCAAGCAAGGACTGAATGGATAAAATCTGCACATGGATATGTCCTTCTTAGTAACCAGAATTCTGACATGATGATATTACAAGTTGGTACAATGCACAGGTACAGGCACAAATGGCTGCCAGTATTTGTGTGGCCAAAAAGAAGTTCAAGTTGCAGCTCAAAAAACTTGTACTTGCATTGAGATTTTTAGAATTTCTGTAAACACATTTCCCTTACAACTCATGCAATTTAGGCAATAGCATTAGTTTTCAAATGAGGAGAAGCTTTTTGCATACCCTGGAAACACAACTGACTGTAATACAGGCAGGATCAGCAAGAACAACAGCATAGTCAGATAAGAATCAATTTGACACACATCACAGGGTAAAGCTGTTTTAATTCAGTTCAGTTAATAATTCTGTGCTTTAATAATTGTAGCCTAGTTTTTCTATCCATATAAACCAGAACTGCATCTTCCAGAACTGGCTGTCCATTTGCTAAAGTGGAAGGATCTTTGGGAGCCTGATAAAACTGTGTAACTGTTGTGGGATGCAGCCCATGGAACATTGGAGGAGGCAGGCAGAGCTCAAATAATGCCAATAACAAAGAATACAAATTCCTTTAAAAGCTAGTTCATAGACTCAGAGCCAGGTTTTGGTTGGAATGGACTTTTAAGGGTTGTCTAGTCCAACACCCCTGCAATGAGCAGGAACATTTCCACCAGACCAGGTTGCTCAGAGTCCCATCCAACTTGACCTTGAATCTTTCCAGGCATGGGACATCTACCACCTCTCTTGGCAGCCTGCTACATTATTTCACTACCTCATTTTAATGTCTGGTCTAAATATACCTTCTTTTCATTTAAAACCTTTATGATCATCAGTTTATGTGTAAACATTGTTTTAAAGAATTATAGTGGCTTATTAGGGTTTTTTGCTGAAGGCAGACTCCCCGCTATTAAGGATTCCATTCCATACATGTACTCTATTATAATTCCTGAGAACTTCAGTAACTCAGCAACTTGGTCACTGGAGTTTTCTCTGTAGTTAATGGTAGGAGAGTGGGACATCTCCAGAGAGCAGCAAAATGTCTTTTCACAGGAAGTTGTGGGAAGTGCCCTCTGTCAAGGCTTCCCTTCCTTCCCGGGGGGAACCTGGGACAGTGACATAGAGCAGACACTTTTTTTTGAATGCTGGAACATACATATCCCAGAAGGATTATTGCTGTCAGTTGGCTCTGAGCCATAAAATCTGTAATACTGAAGATCTCCCTCTATTAATATTTGCACGGTATATACGTGCTGTACCTCACTTTGTGGTTTCAACAATGCAGAGAGCACAGCTATTACTTAAAATGCACCACTCACACCAGACACTGAAAACTGAAAGATGGAATCAACAAGCAGCACAATTTGCCTCCTTGTACTTTGGTCCCTTCTCCTGCCAAGTGTTGTTGATTCTAGTTCAGCTCGGAGCAGGGGTAAATGACTGATCAGCCAAAGCCTCTTCAAAACATATTCCTTTTGAGTTAATTGGTAAAATGTCATAAGTTTATGAAAAAAAAGGCCTTGGAAATAATTCAGCGAGAGGGACAAGCCCAGCCAGAGCCAGGTGATGTTCTGCAAATCCCTCTCCTGTCTTCTAAAGGGGAATGCAGCTGTGCAGTGCAAACATAGGATGAGTTAAAAATGCACCCAGAGAGAAGATATCCTCTTGTCTGTATCCCTCACAGCATCTGCTCCAAAGAAATCTTGGCAGCTCAAATAAAGTAGAAGGGAGGTCACACGGTTGGGGTAAAGTATGCTAGTGAAATAGAATTTTTAGCCTTTTTCCTGTCTTTTTTTTATACAGACTTTGTTTCAGACTGGTCTCCTTTACATGAGGCCTCTATCCATGGGCGTCTGCTTTCTCTGAAGAAGCTCATTGAACAGGTACCTCTCCACTGATTTCTTTTCAGGGTTTGTTCAGTGGATGAATTCAGTTTGTGCTTTACTGTGAAACTTCCAGGGTGAGACAGTTGTGTTAACCAGGCCACAGTGAAATCTGCATGCAACAGGGTTTTTTGGGTTTTTTTTCTACAATCAGTTCCTTGCCCAGCACAAACTTTGTGCACTAATTTGATAATGTACTGAACTGTCCTGTGCGATGAGTTGACTTTGGCAGAGGTAATGAGACCCTGATCACCGGGATCTCTGGATGGCTGAGGGCAGCTCCTCTGCAGCTCCTGTGTGTGCCTGTGAGCGGTTTTTGGTGCCCCAACTGAGGGCCAGCTCTGGACCCAGTCAGGGGTCTGGTTGAGGCTTCAGTTCAGTCACCCATACGTTTGTTTCTGAAGTGCCTGAGTGTATCCCAAGGCCCTGGTCCCACTCCAGAAGGTCAGGGACAGGTAGAAGTGATTTGTGAACCTTACCACTTTGTTTCTTCAAATCCCTGGGTTTAACCTGTGAAGGAGTTGATGGAAAGTGAAGGGGGATTGGAGACTCTTCCAGCTTAGTTTTCTGGAGCACCAAGACTGCTAGAAACAAAAGATCTTGTAGAATCCAAACAATGTTTCTGATGCATTTCTTTCCTTCAGTGGTTGTCTCCAGGCAAAGAGCAGAAAATACTTCAGGAGCATTTCAGGGTTCAACCCAGTCAAATAACGACAGACTCAGTGGGGAGAAGGTCAGAAGGCTTGAGCAGTGATAGAGAAAAGCAGCAGTCCTGGCCCTGCCAAGAGCTCTAGTAGCAACTTTTCATCATTTTCTTTTATTTCAGATTTTGCTATCTGCAGTGTAGTAGAAACCAAATCACGCTGAGTTCCTAACAGGATGTATTTTCCCACTGGACACTCCACTAAGCTTTCTGTGCTGGTTTTCAGTGTGCACAAGGCATGACCTCAGGTACTCTGTGCCAGTATCCACTTCATCCAAAACATCACAGCCTCTTCATCCTCTTCATCCTTACTTTTTGAGGTGAATAGCTTCAGGCAGTTGAGGAAGGTCTAGTTACATAAAGCTTTTAAAGAAGGGTTGTTTTTTTTTTTGTGGGTTTTTTTTGTTTTTTTTTTTTTTATTGCTGGTTTTTGTATGGGGGTTTTAGTAGCTGTTTGTAATGATATTTTCCATTATCTTATCAGGGGAATGATGTCAATCTTGTTACAGCAGACCAGGTGTCTCCCCTCCATGAAGCCTGCCTAGGGGGTCATGCTGCCTGTGCCAGTGTCCTGTTAAAACATGGTGCTCTGGTGAGTACGTGATGGACACACCACTGTCTCTAGTTTCAGTATGTTGTATTACCACCCTTTAGCGGTACGTGATGGCAGAGTATCTCTGTGATTTATATTCTGTACTTAGCTCTGCTTAAAGTACTTATGAAATGCATGTCCTTAAAAACGATCCAAAAAAGCACAGATATAAGAAGCAGTTATTATTGTTCTTTAGATGAGGATGAAATGTTCTCATCTTTCACAAGAACAAGGGGAAGTTCATCTTGCAAAGTGTTTATTATCCTGCAGAAGCTAAGGGTGTTTTTTATGCACACATTAATCTTGTTGGTATCAATATTCAGAGTCTTAAGTAGAGGCACAGGAATGTTGGGATCAGTTGACAATAAAATGGGAAAGAAATGGAAACAAGTTGCAAATAAAATGGTGAAATGGTGTCTCATGGCCACTACTTTCAAGCTAATGTCAAAATTATAATGAATAAGAAAATTGATTCATACGTACATTACCTTACCAGTAAAAAACCCTTCCCGTTTAAAATTTAAAATTTTAAAAAAAAAAAAAAAAAAAAAAGGAAAAGCTGCACACATTCAGCCAAAAATAGACTGTTTCAGGAGAGGGCTATGGGATGGTGTGTTTCAGCTAAGATAACTGAGAAATGGTCATACTTTTAGCTTGGTAGCTCCTGAGAGACCCTGGAGTGGCCCTGATGATTTATAAAAATTATCAAAAACCCTATATTCTGCTGAGAAACTGGTTAGTTGTCATCAATTCTGAAATACTGAGGAGATAAAAACACTTGCCGGATTGTGTTATTTTCCCCCAGGTGAATGGAGTCACTCTTGACTGGCACACACCGTTGTTCAACACATGTGTCAGTGGCAGTGTGGCATGCTTGAATTTACTGCTGGAGCATGGAGCCAGCCTGCAGCCTCCCTGTGACCTGGCATCCCCCATCCACGAGGCTGCTAAGAGAGGTAACCCCACAGGCGTCAGCCCTCCCTTCCATGCTACTAGCACCATGCTGCAGTGGAGGAGAGAGATAAAGAAGATAATTTTCTTGCTTTGGGTCATGTAAAATGCCTTGCTAATTGGTCTCATCATGAGGGGTGCAGTTCTTCCCACCCCTGTTGCTCATCAAGGGCAGGTCAGCTCAGCTGTCAGATCCTCTGAGTTCACATGGTGACACCTGGAAGGGAATGCATTGTTCAAGTCAGCTGCCTGCAGTGTGGACATTTGAGGGAGACATCTGGCTATCTTCAAAAGGAATGGAGAGAAACATGGAGTGATTCATCTCATCTTCAGTAGACATCTGAAATGAGTCAGATAAAATGTGAGGGCTTTAGCCTGTGAGGCTTTAGCCTGTTTTGCTAAACGTGGCTTTTCAGCTTCTGTTTTGCTGACTGGATCCATTGGAGTGAATGAAAGTATTACACTACCACCTCTTGACAAAACTTTGAATCTTTGCCAAACTACAGTGCTGCAACAGGGAATTTGCTGGAAAAAAAAAAGGCCTGATCTCTGTGAGTTGACTCTTTCTTTATCCCTTTTAAGGTCATGTGCAGTGTGTCGAGCTCCTTGCATCCCGTGGGGTAAATATAGATCACAACATCAAGCACCTGGGTACTCCTCTTTATGTAGCGTGTGAGAACCAGCAACTGAACTGTGCCAGGAAGCTGCTTGAGTCAGGTAAAAACAAAAATAAAGAATGGTGTACTTCTGTTTCCTGCAACATCTATCTCTGGATTATCTTTGTGTTTTGGGACCAGGTGATGTGCCATTCCTAATAGCAGCCCTGGTTAAATGTGGGAGATCAGGCTCTTCTTGACCCAGGAGTTCAGCTTGGTAGCTCCCAACAAAATGATGGGTGATCCTGGATTTCACATGGCTGATTGTGCCTGAAACAAGCTTTCCTTTCCAGTGTCTATGCATGTGATGCTGCAGTTATTTGAAGTGGATAGGAATAAATTAAATTTTTAAATTTTTTTTTACTCCTCTTTACCCAAAACAACTGACTCAGCCACTTTTACATCGTATTTCTGCAAACATATTTTAATTTCCAATGAGTTCATGAAAGGTTTGCGACATTAACAACACAGAAGAAGGTTCAGCACTATATCTTTTGCATCACTCAAACCTAGCTGTAAGTCTATACGCTTGGCTAATTACACAAAATCATTTCTTGTTATCTACAGTAGTACAGGTCTTCTAGCTAAAGGGGTCATATAACCTGAAGTGGCCACAGAGCTGGTACAAAAATGATGCACCAACAAAGCTACTTTGGAAAAAACAAGCAAAAATCATATATAACACCTTTTAGGTAGGTCACTGTTTAGTATAATGACCTTTTTTGGGAAGAGGTCAAATACAAATTAATCTAAATATTAAATGGTTGAGAACTATTTTCTTTTTTCTGCTAATTTTTTTTCTGCTGGTTCCTTTATATGGGAATGTGTACTATAAAAACCTTCCAGTTTTGAATTAGTTTTGCAGCTCACCTTTCTTAGGCTGCTTTAGGAGGCATTAATCCAGGGTAATGAACGGGGGAACTGTCATCAGGGGTGCTTATTCCCTCTTCTACCAAGAACCTCTAGAGCTTTTCTATCCTCACATTTTTTCCCTAACAGATACTTTGGCATTTGGAAATCCCACTAGCTTAAGCCTCCAGTCCAGAGGAGTTGAAATCCTGTGTTTATTTTAAGGGATGGGAAGCAGAGGTGGGCCATAGGCATTTGTCTTGCTTCAGGATGTCCATGGGCTGGGCTGTGGGTGAAGGACTTCCTCATGCACCATTCCTCTGGGATCGTTTTCTTACTCACAGCCCCACTGCTCAGCCAGCGAGTGTTGTGCTTGTGCAAACTGTAGCCCCAAGCCCAGCATAAGGGAGTCCACCCCTGGCTGCATTTGTGTGTTGTTCAGACAAATAGCAGCTAGTGCAGTGAATGAAAACGGGCTACTGTTTAATCATTGCTCTTTGTCATTGTTCTTTGCCCTCTCTTACTGTTCAGGAGCAAATGTGAACAGCGGCAAGGGCCTGGACTCCCCTCTGCACACGGCTGCCAGGAATTGCAGTGTGGAGCTGGTGAAGCTGCTGATTGACTTTGGAGCAGATGTTTGGGTGAAGAACGCTGAAAACAAGAGGCCAGTGGAGCTGGTCCCACCTGGCTGCCCTGTGGGCCAGCTGTTCCTGCAGAGAGAAGGTGCCCCTTAGAACTTGTGTTAGGGAAAGCCCACACAGATGATTGCAGAAGGCTATGCTATTCCAGGCTGAAAGCACTAGAAAACTGGGAATAACTGAGCTTGCCTCCATTTGCTGACTTAAGGACATTGTTCAAGTGCCAGAATATAGTGGTGCACTAGCAGAGATAATGTAAAAAAAATAACCTTTCCTGAACCTCCAGATTTTGAATCTACTGCATCAGGAGGCAATCATACAGAGGTTGCCATATAATACAAAATAGAGTTGAGGGTGAATAAACAGGCAAAAGACTCCTTAGAAATTAATGGTAGCTTTTTTCATTACCTAAAACTTTGAATTTAGCGAGAACCTCTTGATTCCCTTGAGTCAGGTGAAGTGTGCTGACAAATGCAGGCAGCAAATCATCTCTGATGGGAATTGAGGCTGGGTAGTGAGGTTGAGGTTTGGGATCTCTGGCTATACAGTAGATGGTCAGGTTTGTACATCTCAGTGCAAATGCATAAATGGAGATTTGCAACCCCAAAAATTTTAATGTTTGTAATAGTAAAAAAAACTATATTGAAGAATTTGTTTTCTTATTCGTTGCCCTTTTATTCTTGGCTCAAACTTTACATGGATTCAAAAGTATCTTTAAAATGAAAGATTGCCTGATTTTTTTTTTGGACATTAAGGAAAATTGCACAGGAATGATATATGGAATTATATATTTATATTAATTTGTACACTAGACTTTCTCTAAAGACCAACTTTATGTCCTGAATAATAACAGCAGTATCAAACCATAAACTTAAATTTTAGGAAGAGTCCATTTTGTACATGTGAATTAAATAGTTCCAGGTAAATTTATTTTATTTTATTGATTATGAAATCTGTAATGAAGTATGGAGAGAAATGTTACTTATTATTATTGAGAGAAATTTAGAATAAGATTTCTAGTGTCTACTCATTTTTGTACTTGTCTTCTTCCTAAGGTTTTCTCATTCAGCCAGCAAGCTATATACGTTACTAAATAATCTGGATTTTCAGTGTTTTAAACAAATTGGTGATGGTAGGGTTCATACCAGTTACATGTTGATGAGATTGTTGCCATTGAAATATTCACACTCAGATAAAATTGGAATGACAAAATGATGAATCAGGCCCTGCTTAAAATAATAACGTGAAAGTAGTGTGGAAACACCTGTGCTGTGCATGTTACGCCTGAGCAGTGGATATTTGGTTTCCCAGCCTAATCTATGGCACACAGAGCAATGATCTGCTTGTCTTCCAGTCCCTGCTGCATTTGATTCCTGACTGCCATGGCACTGCATGTGTCCTGTTTATTTGAGATAGAAAAACATTTCAGGAGCTGGCCTAGAAACACTGCTCAGGCTAAGCTGACAGCATGGGCAGCAAGGAACTTTTCTAAGCGAAATTCAGCAATCAAAATCAGAAACAATAAATGCCTGAAGGTAATTTTCCTGTGGAACAGTGTTTTTTCTGATGTTCTCCAACGTGTCCTTCTCTGCATGGGGTTGTGCCTGTGGACAGCAGATGTCTGTCTTCTTTGGCTGGCTGAACAATTGCAGTCTAGGAGTGGTGCAAAAGCTGCTCCCACGGCAGACCCCAGCTGCTGGAGCCCTGCAGCCCGTGGCCAGGCAGGCTGCAGGGAGTGTGTTTGGCCACCAGAGATGAGTTGGTGAGCATGTTGACCCAGTCAGCCTCCCAGGACCAGCCCAGAGCAGGTGTAGTGCATGTGGTGGTTCCCTTCCTAGAAGTTCACCGTGCTGCCTGGACCATCCCAATCCCTGGTTACATCTCAGGGACAGTCCTGTGTGTGGGTGGGAGAATTAGTGAATGCTCCAAAAATGTACTGTATTTTTAAAGAGTGTGCTTGTGTTTGCAAAATATTTTCCAGTGTAGTGTCACTGCTTGTGTTTTGATAAGTCTTTATGTTTGGGTTTGGTTGTTTTTTCTTTTAATGGAAGCCTTTGTTTTTCAATGAGATGTTTGCAGGCACAGCATTTATCTTTGGGGTCAGAGTCAAGCACAAGTGCAGTGTGATACTGCAATACTTTAACTAGCTTGCCTTGTTTTCTACCCAAGAGCAGGGTAACAGCTCATGTGCTGGCTCCTAGCAGAAGGGTGTAGCCCTTTGCATGGCCCTTGTGATAGCACAGCAGCTTTCAGCCTTGCAGAGCTGCTGGAAGTGTGGTGTCCTGCACGAGGGAGGTCTCAAAAGCTGATCAAAGCTGCCACCTCACCACATTGTTGTTGTAGCATTCCTTCCTTCCCTCTGCTCTGCAGGAGGGAGGGCACCTAACCTGTCCCTTCCGAGCTCACTCACCTCCCCCTTGCTTTCTGCAGTGTCCCTTCTCATGTCCTCCCCACCCCCTGCATCCAGCCCCCTCGTTGGTGCCCATCTCCTTACCTGCCCTCCCACAGCCCCTGCCACCCTGCACACCCCTGTGCAAATGATGCTCTGGAGTGTTGAACGCTGACAGGTGCCACAGGTAAAACTTGATACAGGATCTTCCTCTTCCTGGAAAGGATAAGTGACCCAAACAAGTGTATAATGCTAATATACCTTGATTTTTTTGTAAAGTGACAAAGATTCTTCAACAGGGCTCCCATCTATCAATGTGGTTAACCTGGAAGGTTTAAATAAAGAGCTATATAGTGTTTCTTTTGCTTTGTGTTCGTCAGTGTTATGAAATATGCCTCCAGAAAGCAGTGGACTGAAAACTTTGATCTCACTGGAGGAGTTAGAGGAGGGAAGAGCTTTTAAAGTAGCATCAATCATCTCTTCTCAGACAGAACAAACATCTGTACTGCTTAAAAGGGAAAGGCTGATGCTGCTGATGCCAGCTGAGTAATGACAGAGTGACTAGGCATGGACTGGATTGCAGGTGGGCAGCTGTCCTTTGGGGGGTGCAGGTCTGACTTTTCACTGCTGTGTGTGAAAACCTGATGAGAGGTTGGTTACAGGAGGTGGGCTGCACAGTTGCTGTTTCAGGTTTATAGTCTTGGCATTATAAAGCCATGTGTGTAACCTCTTCCCTGGATCTTTCTCCAGGGCCACTGTCCTTGATGCAGCTGTGCCGCCTGTGCATCAGGAGGTGCTTTGGATACAAGCAGCATCAAAAAATAACTGGACTTCTCCTCCCAGATGAGCTGAAACATTTCCTTCTCCACATTTGAGCCTTTTCTTGTTCAAAACGGTGCCTTTAATAACACAGCAAGGTTTGTTGCCTTTTTTCATCACTAGTGTCACCAGTGTTTGCAATGATAGTTTATGGCAATTTTTGGTCACCAATAAAGCCTGGGACTGACCAGCTTGCTCAGTCTTCATTGCCATCACCCCCACCAAATCCTTTTGGAAGGAAACAATCCTGTGTGATTGCATGGTGAAGCTTGGAAATATGGTGTGAGAGCCCCCTTGAAAGCGCAGAAGATTACCGTAACATTTTAAAGTAGATCTCTTGATTCTCTGGCACAGTTCCAGAGGTCTTGTGGTTGACAACCCCTTACAAAGAAAACACATATCCCAGCCCAGCAGTAACAGCATTTCATGTAAACATCAGGCATACCAGGAGAGCTACAGAGAGCTTTCTCTAAGCAGTGCTCACGTGCCTGTCATCTGTGAGGGCTGTGCCCTCAGCACCACGAGTAAAGGGAGGGAACCCAACTGAACCCACTTGCCAAGCAAGGAAGGCCCTCAGGCAGAAGTTTTTTATTTTCTAAGAGTATCACAGAGTGGACAGATAAGCACCAATAAGCATTTCTGCCATAACAGCAAATAGGTCACTGCTGATGGCAGCTCCCTACTGTGCAATAATAGCAGGGCAAAAGTTTTTAATCATCCATTAAGGCAATTACTCCTGATACTTTGAGACATAGAAGAGCTACACTTCAGAACTACCCATTTTATCCTTGTAGCATGTTATTTTTTCAAAGACATGGGTTAAGAGGCTATCAGTAGTGGGCATTGAGGCATTTCCTGCCCTGAAAATTAGGTGGTATTTCCAAAGCATTTTTCAGTATGCATCAGAAAAACAACAGCTTCTATACCCCTTCTCCACCCAAGAAAATATTAAGAATGAGATACTATTTTTTTCTGGGATGGTTGCTACCTCATTCATAGCATTTTCCATGGGAGTGGTAATAATAATGCCTCTAATGTGTAGTCATAAAACAAACAATGAAATCGAAGTCCATTCCAAATTTTAAAAAACAGTGGACAATTACTGCCCCTGCTCAGTTGCTGAGCAGTTGGCTCAGTGCATGACGTATGTAGTTATTCCAGTGAGGTCATAAGAACAAATATTTCCAGCTGAATGTTAACACTGGGTATTTTTCTTTCCCTTTCAGAAATGGGTCATGTTGACACCGAAGTGCAGTTCTGACCACTCTGCTCACTTGGCTGCTCCCCCTGGGGTATCAGCTGCCTGACTCTTGTAGGAGCAAGGATACCGAGACTCCAGCTCTTCTTCCCATTGCCCTGTTTCCTTTTGAGTTCTAAACCAAAGTGCATCTGTATCACCTGGGAGCAGCAGCAAGCCCAGTTCCCTGAGGGCCTTCCATGTCACCCCGAGCTGAAGAGGCAGCACACATTTGGGTGCTCCTGGAGATCCTTTTCCACTTTGCTGTGGAGACTCTGTAAGAGTGGGCTGGGAGTGCAAATGCTGATGACATTGCTAACACCAGCAATGAGAGATACATTGTCCTCATCTCAGAAGTGGAGAGACTGCCAGCTTTCAAGTGTATGAAAGCTGATTTTGGTGTTTGCCAGTGTGCCAGTGGGAGCAGAGCCAGCCTGCCTTGTGCAAGTGGAGGAGAGATCAAATGCTGGTATTTGATGTAAATCACAGTTCAAGTCCTTGTCTGCACAACATGACTGCTGGCTATAGGTATCCAGTGTGATGATTCGGTTCCTTTGTGCTGACCAAACACAGCACAGTTCTCTTGGGTTTTTGGGACACCAAATTGTACCCTAATGGGACAAAACACTTATCTGACCCAGTTCATCACACATCTTTGAGCCTTGTAAAAAATAACTGGCTGGTTCAAAATGGCTTTCTATATTGTTGCCCTCATGCCCAGGAAGAAAAGGAGATACCTGTCTTCACAGAGGTTGAATAAAAGCAGGTATCTGGGATAGGAAAGGTATCTTCTTCTAAAATCAGTGTCTTAGTTAAGCTGAATCTGCATTGAACAGACAAGGAATGGACAATGAACCTGGTGCTTAACTTTTGGACATTAATGTGTGAAGAATCCCTGCTTTGGTGACAGAGTGGAAAGCTGGAGATCCAATCTCATTGTATTCTACATGATGAAACATTTTTGTACATACTATTTTTTCTTTTGCTTGTAGGCATCTTATTTTGTAACTTCAGCCAGTGGGTTTATATAGGAGTAATGATAATACCTGGAGAAAATTGCTCTGAGAACCAGGTGAGCGTGTTACTTCTAGTTTGCTTTCCTTATAAAAATTTTATGGTATGACTGTTTACTTGAATTTCTTTGCCCAGATGTAATTAGGATGAATTCTTTATGCTCAGCTTGTATCATCTCAGTGTGTTTACTTATTTATTTTCAAAAAAATTTTGTTCAACACTGGTGAATTACAGCTTTATGCATCAACACTTACCCAGTTATAAACTGTAGAAGTACAAGATGCAAACTGAATAAGCTCATTATAAGTGAGGTTTGGATTTTTTCCTATATTTGAAACCATTCAAACTGTAATGCAGGACTTAAATGATTGTCAGAAATATATTTTATCAGATTCTTTCCTATTTTTATGTTAACAGTTTAATGGCAGTTAAGCCACAATTTTGTAGACTATTTTCTCAGAAATAAATAGTTCATACTCTTTTGCTTGTTTGTTTTCATTCAGTTTTGAAATGATAGCCCTAATTTTGTGGATTGACTGCTACTATGGGGTTTTGAATTCTAATTTCTTGTAATCCCACCTGCAGGCAGGTGGTGAACAGAATATTTCCTTCAAATAAAACTGTAGTAAAGATGAGACTAAAATGCAAATACTGTGCAAATCTTGCCTTTTGTTGATGCTTTAATATAGAGCTGGACTCCTGAAATTCTTTCTTTTCTCACTTGAGGGTTAGTGAAAAGGAGATAGAGGTTCCAGAAAGCAGAAGATGTAAATTTAGATGCTCATTGTCTTCAGCTTGGCTTTGTTTGTTTGTTTGTTTGTTTTTTTAACTGATTTGCATCAATTTATTTATCCTGCCAATTAAGCAAAAAGCACACACAAAGTTCTGGTGCTATTGTGCAGGTGCAAAGGTCCACAGCTGTCCTGTGCATTTCTTGTTGTTTTGTATTTCCTCTTAACTGGAAACCGCAGACATGCAAATCTAGTAAATGTAACATACAGCTTTGGAGCATATTCAGAGAATGTCCTCTTGCTTGTCTACGAACATGAATTCTTTTCAAGATGACTAAGAAGGAAATAAATTTTACTTTACTAGCTTAACAAAGTGGGACAGACTGGCTGAAAAATAGTGGGTTAGTGTTGAAAAAGAGAGTACTTTTATGGGATATGCTAATATGGGATATGCTCAATTCCCATCAGACTCATGTTCTTGAGAATCATGGATCTGAGACTTGATGGTCCTGAATTCACTTTTTCTTGCTTAACACATGCACTGTATTTGTCAGAGTGGAGGCTTCCTTGCTCTGGCAGTTCCAGCCTGAACCCTGCTGGCTTTGGATAGAAATTCCCTGGAGTTATTTCTATGCATACTGAGCAATTATTTGCCATTCCTTGACACACTGCTCAGCTCACTGCTCCAAGGGATACTCACTTGCATGCATCAGGCAACATTTGATGCAGAACTGCTCTCTAGGATACCTAGGGAAGTCCACTTTTCTTTAAAATTACAGCAGTGAACTATCGCTGGAAAGATAAATGTTTCAAATTCTTGTATCATTCAACACAGTAACCCTTCCTCCATCCCTGCCTCAGTGCTGGAGAATACCTGGCTTATGTCACCGTGCAACAAGGTCTTGTCACTTCTGTGCCAGGTGAAGACTTTCCTTTTTGAACTACTTCCCTTTGCAGTTTTAAAGGTCTTGAAACTCATTAATCATCACTGATTCAAGCAACACAGCTCTGGATTCATGGCTTTAGTGACTGTGAAGTAAAATTGAGTTTGTAATCTGTCAGCTGTCTTACTTCACAAATTAAACTGTGGAGTCTCTGCAGAGTCTATGGCTTTTGAAATCCCTGGAGCTTTTCTTTCTGTGGTTTGTAAAATGCAGCCATAGCAGCTCTTTGTCTCATGAAAGCACTGACTCTGAATCACAGAGGTTCATACAGACCTTGCAAAGATGTTATGAATAGGACAAGTACAGGGTTGCCTCATTGTCATCGAGACTGCACTTTTTATTACCTTATTTTGAGGAAAGGGAGTTGCATTTTTTTTTTTTTTTCCTCTGATTTAATAATTGTACCAAAACAGGAACAGTTGCTTTTGGGAATTTCTGCATGGGGCAAAGCTCCTGGCAGCTGCTTTGCTCTTCCCAGGCTTCTCTGAAGGAGCATCACCCCTGAACTTGATTCAGCTTTTTCACCCTCTGACTGAACATGGTGACAGACTGACAAACGCTTTGTCCCTTACAACTCTTTATATATAATTTTTCCTACAAGTTGGCAAGCAGAACCTCTGCCTTTCCAAGTCTCTCCAATGAGGACTATAGACATCCCTTTCTGAAATAACTCCATTGATACCCATCGGTTAAGGATAGGTGACCTGTGCATTTCTGCTACTCAGATAATCACAATGGTGAGCACAAGGTGTGAGCATGTCCTGACTTCACTGGGATTGTTTCTATTCACTTATCCCATAGAAAAGATAGAGCACTGCTCCAATTCTGGAATTACCAGCTCAGTCTCTTTGTTCACTGACCATTAGAAGGAGATGTTTTTTTCCACAGCTCCCTGTCATTTTTTTCAAATTTCCCTGTTGTTTTTTCAAACAACAGCCTTTCCCTCATGGAGCAAAAGTTAAGAAGTAGCTTTTTCTCTTTTTCAAGCTATAATTACTTCTGTTATTTCTCAGACTTGAAAACATACAAACACAACCCCAAACAGTTCAATCCAAGTCAAGTAAATTGCTCATTTTTCTTGCAGGAACAGAAAAAACACATGGCAAATATTTTCTACCAGCTGGGCTATTGGGACATATTCATTAGAGGTGGTGGAAGCAAGTTCAGACTCCCTCCTAGAATGAAAAAAGTTCTTTCTCTATATTTGCTATCCCTGGTGCTTTGGGAGTATATCCTCCTTGATTCTGGTGACTCTAAGCTTTCCTCTCACCCAATTTACCCAGCAAGACTGTATGACTTCAGTTCACTAATATTTTCTCACTGATTCTGCCCAGTACATAAGAGCATAAGACCAGATGTTTGGATTAGGGCACCCCTGGGCAGGGACTGGAGCCGTGGGTGGCTGCCATGGGGTCATGGGAGTGGGGCAGGGGGAGCCCCAGGGGGCTGCCATGGGGCAGTGGTGCCCTCAGGGCTCAGACATCTGGGTAGCCATGCGAATTCTCAGCATCCACGACATCCATGAGCATGGCAAGAGATCTATTAATCCAACACATACCTTTTGTATGCCTAATCCCCTCCTTCTTTGTTCTAAAAGAGTTTTCAGTTAATTTTACCTAAGAAAATGAGGAATTGTTTCTTAATCTCTCCTCATTACTCCGTTTATAGTCATCTCTCTCATCCCTTCCTCTTAGTTTCTTTTTCTCCCAGACCAGACTCCCAATCTCTTTAGCCACTCCATGGACAGAGACCTGGGTGACCAAAATACTGTGATTTTGTCTGTAAAACACACATTCCCTCAAAAAAGAAAGAGAAGCCAGAACCCAGAGCTACCTACTGCTTCTGGCTTCTTTCCCTGAATGTCCTTTACTGTTTCTGAGATACTTGGCTGTTCCTGGCTCATGCAGTCAGACGTCTTAGTCCAAAATAAATACCTAGTGAAAACACCCTGAGCTCAGTTCAGGCATTTTGCATATGATCTCTGCTTTCAGTTACCTCATTCCATAAAAATTATCATAGCTGTTTTGAATGCCTGTCCTGTATTAAAGGAGAACTGCTACGTGCAAAGCTCCAACAAAGGACATAGCACAGAGACCTCTTCTTTTCTTGAGATGTGAAAAAAGGGTTGTGTCCCATCTCTGTGCACAGTCTGGACTTTTTATCTGCTATTCCTGTGCTTGGACAGCTGAGAAGTGAACAGGCAAGGCATTTCTTTCAAGCATGACAAAGAAAAAGCCCCAGACCCCTATGAACCAGGACCGAAAGACAGAAAATTGAGAGATATATGTAATAGGAGTAACTGGACACATTTCTGGCTCGGAAGACTGATCTCGGGATCTCATCCCCTGCCACAGCAGTCCTCTCCCCTTTTCTCATAAGCGCTGGCTGCTGCTGCCCCAGGCAAGGAGCCCTCCTGGGGGAGGAAGGCAAGGGCAAGCGGCGGCTGCCCGGGGACTGCCAGCCCCAGCTCCCCGGGACAGTGCCGGCATCAGCCGCCAGATGGTACCGCTGCCACGCAGCTCCGCACTAAAGCTTTGCCAGAGGAATAATCGGCGAAAAAATCGAGCTAGAAAAGACGTGGTGCTGAGAGTGAACGCAAACTCAGGCTCACACGGACCAGGGAATATCCCATCATTGCCATTTCCATCTGCGAATGGTGCAAGTTTTTCCTTTTACTGTCCTACTTATTGCCCAGCCTTTCTACATCGATTGTCTGAAAGAGGCAGGATGCATACAATGCTCAGAGTTTGTCTTAACAGATAGGTTACTTAATGCTTGTCTTTTATCTTTTTTATCTATTTTTTTATTTATGTTTTTTTTATTTATTTAGTGAAATCTAATGTTTTTTGTTTTGTTTTGTTTTTTTTGTGAAATCTAATTTTGTTGTTATTTTTGGGTGTTCTTTTTTTTTGTGAAATCTAATGTTTTTACCATACTATGTGAAGAAAGCACCAGAAAAGTCTGAAAAACATGAATGTAAGTGTTCTCAGTCACTGGTTGTCAGTGACCTGTAATTAGAGGTACCCTGCAGCACTCCCACTCTTTGAAGGGTCTGCTTAGTTTTTTTACATAGCAGCTTGCTTAATATATTTTTCCTCTAACCTCCATTAGCACTCGACAGAAAAAAGATCAGTTCCAGAAAATGGAACATTCGTACCTACTGAAATTACATATAATTAACCAATTAGAAACAGAAATCTGTCTCGGTTTTCAGAATGAGTGCTTACTGGTGTATAATGCCTTTCAAAACCCCTGCTCTCTTCTAGGGAAATAATTGCTGGCTTCCTAATTTCACAGGCTGGCTGTTATCACTTTCTAGACAGCAGGTCTAAGCAAGAGTCCTTCCCATAATTTATTTTGGGTGATCCTTGGAATCTTCTCCTAAAAGTAATTTACCACAGAACTTTACAAAGTTCTTTGGCATCACCGCCAGGACTTGCCACGTCTGTGCCCCATGCTGTGCAGTGATTCTGACTTCAGAGAAATGTTTTATTTCCATGTCCTCTCTAAAATGCTTTGTTTATCCCACTTCCCACAGTCTACAGCCCAGGAGACGTAGGCATTGCATATGACAATCTAATTCAGCTCCATGTCACAGAAATAAATGCCCTCACACACGGCCTGCACATAGGCTAGGCCTCTGAAGTGTAATACATGCTGTGAGTTATCATGGCAGACTTTCACACATCCCTGCAGATAAGGTAATTTAGTAAGACATCCAAGTGACTGCCTGGAGATGTGCATTTGCCTTTGC